TTTAAAGTAATAAAAAATATAGAAATAATCCAAAATTTCATATTGTATTCTAGAAGTTTAGATTTATTTAGTTCATTTATTTTTTCTTTATAAGTAATAAATATTTCTTTAACATTAGACGAACATTTAGGCACATTAAAAATATTTGTCTTGATTAAGAATGTGGTTAGACATCTTTCTTGAGATTTTAAGATAAACTCAAGGATGCGGTGATGCACCTTATACAAAAATATAATCAACTTTCATTAATTTAAAGTAGAGACTTATAGACAAAAAACTATTAAGTGTGATGCAAAGAAGACAGTTATGTCTCTAAATGTCAAGACCAAGAATGCGGTTACGTATTTAGGTCGAGACCAAATAAAACTTCAACAATAAAAATGCGAGTGAAACTGTAGCCTATAAACATATATCCAAAATATAATCATAATTTAAGTACAAGTCAATAAAAGCGACTGTGCTAGAACCACGGGACTCAAGGGATGCCTAATGCCTTTCCCTCGGTCAATAGAATTCCTACCCAAATTAGTGGTTCGCAGACCAAAATATAGAGTCATTTCCTTTTGGTTAGGGATTAAAAAAAGGTGACTTGGAACACCATAACTCAATTCCAAGTGGCGACTCTGAAAAAGATAAAAATAATTTCTAAATCAATACCGTCACTTTAATTGGAAAAACCATACCGCCATGCGCGAAAAAAGGAATGTGACAGTATATATATATATATATATATATATATATATAGTATTCAAAGAACTTGTGCTATTTATAGCACTATCATATCAATCAAAAATATATTCTTGTTTGTTTTTATTTTTTTCCAATTCTCATTTACTCAGTACTGTTCAGTATTTGTTTTGAGATTCCAACTAATATAGTGGAGTTCGTTTTTGTTTTTTTAATATCTCATTTATTCAATATTCAATATTTGCTTTGGGAGTCCAACTAACGTGACAGACTTGAAAATTTTAACTTTGTGATTTCATCGCTCAGGTTTTGACCACTAAACTCATCACACCTTAGCTTGTGTGAGTTTTGAGTTCACGGTTCAATATATCCAACAATTTCAATGTTTAGAGTAAAAATTACGGGTTCAAATGAACCCATATTTATACTACTACTGCTATAGATCTACTCCTACCAACCAATTTGGATGTACACCGTTTAATGCCTATTCGCGCTCCCTAGCCATTAAGTTTTTTTGTCATTCTTAAAATTTAAATTCGAAATCTCTGGTTAATAAGGATGATCTTATCCATCCATCACATAATCATATGATCAAAACTGCAAATTAAGATAAATAATTGTTTATTCTCTATGCTTCTAATATATTTATTGCTTACTAACATGTTAGCCCTAATTTAGGTGCAGCACCTAATTAATAGAAAAGTGCTTGATTTAATGTCAAAAGAAGAGTGCATGGAGGCACTATCCAAGCATGCAAACATCAAACCTGTAATCACTGCTACTGGTTAATTTTTTCTCTTTTAAATTTTATTAAAATTTAAGTTATATATACTAAAGATGTATAATATTTTTACACGATCAGATTAAATAAAGGAAATAGCCTATTATTATAACTAGTTAAATAATTAATATGGTATTCATTAATTATCTTATGCATGCATGCAAATTTCAGTTTGAAGGTTGTAAATCACATACACATTATCAATCGCGCTGACCCCATTGACTTTAAATTTACCTGAATTGAATCACCTCTCAATATTTACTATTGATTTCATCATCAGTATTTAGATAATCGAAATTTTCACTAAAGAGATTCATATAAATAAATATACAAAGAATTAAGAAGATCAAACATAATATACATATCCTGTATAATTTCAATGGGAATTCGGATCAAGAACCCCTTGCGCCATTGGTGTACTAGTATCAAATAGTAGTTAACTTATACTCAAAATTTGTATTTTTTTTTAGAAAATTTATTTAATATATATATAAATTATAAATTCAGAATCTGATAATTTAAAGGATTAGAATCTAAAATTCATAAATTTCAAATTTTGAACCTCACCATGATACTAGAGGAACGGATATATAGCCTATATTACGGTGCACATGAACTCATGTTCTTTTCGCTAAACTATATATTTTACATAACTTCAAATCGTAAATCCACTTCTGATCATAATATTGTCCATTTATATGTTGCAGTGTGGAAGGAGTCAGAGAAAGAGAACAAGGAGTTTTTTGAGTCATTCACAAAGCAAAGATCATATGACAGAGGAAGAGTTGAGTGCTATGATACAGAAAATGATATTAGATTCCAAATAATAATAATAATACTACTAATAATAATAATAATATATTATAATCACGTACGCGATAGCGATCTAACGTTTGCGTTCTCATAAAATGTGTCAAATATTTTTACACTATTAGTGTATTTTTAAGCTGGTCCAATATATAAATTGCGGTTTTCGTAATATTATTTATTACCAACAATTACTTGTAATTATGTGAAAACATTAATCTGTCCTGCCTCACTCCGCATAATCTGACGTGTTTTCACTCCTTTTTTTTATCACTCCAAATTATTTATAAAAAATAATATTAATTTATATTTATGGCCAAACACAATTATCGTTATTTTCAAATATCATTTTTACTTTAAAAATAAACTATTCTTTTTTCAAATTTCATAATAAAATATGACCATATATAATCACGCAAGAACAAAGTTCAAAATACCCAAAACAAAATCAAGAAAAAAGGTACATACTTAAATCTAATTAATAAACAAGAATCAGAGAATCAAATAATCATCTCTATAATATCCACTAATTAAAATCCTAGTCAATCCTCACACAACACCCAAATAAAACAATTTTACATTCTTCTTAGAAAAGATTTATTTTTCTAAAATTAGAAGAAGATTTCAATTGTATATAATTTGCACATTAGTTGAGCTATAATTACATTTCAATTGTATTTTTAGAATTTTTATTTTAAAAAAAATTCCGACCCGCCTTCACATTATTTTTGATAGATATTTTAGAACTTGCCTTACGCCCACTTCGTTTTGTCTAGCCTTAAACCTACCCCGCCCTAATGTCATTTCTACGGAATGTGTACGTTTTTTTTTAAAAGTCTACCGATAGGGACGTAAGCTAAATAGTCCCCACTTTATTAATTAGGCTTCATTATTTATTGCTATAAAAATAACATTGAATATTCATAAATCACGCAGGCCACAAGACAGCTACACAACCAAATTTATAAAAATGTAGCAGACAACCATACGACATATATATACATCATCATAATCAGTATTAATAAGAGGCTAGAAGCAGACAATTATATCGATCAATGATATTTTTTCAAATTTTAATATTTATACTTTAAAGGTGATATATATAGATATTTTTTCGAGGCTAGAAGAAGGTACCTCTTTGTCGATATATCTACTTATTCTGGAGTGTAATTTTTTTAATTTCAATGTTTATGCTTTAAAGGTGATATATATACATATACTTTTTTCGAAGCTAGAAGCAGGTACCTCTTCGTCGATATATCTACTTCATTTCGAGTTTAATTTCTTTAATCTAAATGTTTATGCTTTAAAGGTGATTTACAGATACAATTCCACTGATAATTTGGTTCAAGGTCAATAAAAAAAATTGCCACATAAGTAAAACTCAATATGGGAAAAATGTTGATGTGTCATTATTTTGAGAAAAGAAAAATGTATCGTATACATTGAAGGCCAATAAATACATAAACCACTTTTAATATGATTTGTTGGGCTCGTCCCTTAGTCGTTCTCCACCAATTCATTCACAACTCTTATACTTACGATTTCGAGACAGGTCTAGAATTCAAATTTTACAAATTTAAATTCATAATTCTACTATTTTTATTAAATTTATTAAGTTTAGATTAGATTATTTATACATATTGAACAAATTTCCGAACATAAATATATCTATACACATATAGCCTAAGCCAAAATCTATCCAATACATTGGATACGCCTTGAATCATTCCACCAACCATATAATTTCTTTTTAAGGTTTTGGTGATTATTTTGTCTTGTCAACACCAACTTGTGAGTTATGACACATACAAATAAATTTAATCAAGTGGGATGTTTGGAGCATAACCAACAAGTATATATCGTACACCACGAAAAGGACAATACATTGTAAAGAAATATATTTCGAACATACGTAACTCAACCCCAAATGTTAATTTATGAGACAAAAATTATTTAAGTTGCATATAAAAGATTCTTCATCTCATTAACTATTGACGTGTTAATTTTTCTATTTGAGAAAGTATTGAAAATACCCTTAAACTTGGCGTGAATTATTAGTTTCATTCTCAAATTATTGACAGCCTTAAAAACACCCGTTTACTTGACTAATTAACTAAACTTCAACTTACCCCCATCTTGCAACATGAGTGAAATACACCCCTAAATTCTTGCCAAGTTCAGTGGTGTTTTCGATGCTTTTCTCGAATTTTTTAATTAAGAGCTCCATGCTCCTATAAGAGTTTGTGACCTCTTGATATATCTTGTTGCAAATCGGGGGTGTATAATCAAGTAAAGTGTTGTTTTAAGGCTGTCAATAGTTCGGAAATATGAAACTAATAATTTGCGCTAATTCAAGGGTGTTTTCAATACTTCTCTCTTTTTATTCTTCAACACACCATCTCACGCTCAGGAATAAAAATCTGGAGCGTACATAATTTAATTAATTGAGGGCCCAACATCAGGTGAGATAAGTCTTGCTTTGATACCATAGCCATGTAATAAGAAAACGAACTTCTGATCTAACTCAATCCAAAAACTAGCATATCTCTTTAACCATCAATGTAAAATCTTTTTCATTCTTCAACACATACTAGTACGATAAGCGACATATGCCCACATTTTTCAATGAAATAGGGACCACATTGGTACGTGCAAACCTATCTCTCGCATGCATTTAAAAGATAATTACAAGTAAGTATTCATAATAAGTAATATATTATTAATAAACCGTAATATACATATTAGACTAGATTAAAATACATTGATAATGTAAAAATGCTTTACACATTTTATGAGAACTCAAAGGTTAGATCGCCATCGCGTACATGGTTATAATATATGTTATTATTATTATTATTTTTATTATTATTTCTTGTCTGATTCCTTGGAAGGACCTGGTTCTTTGGAATCTAATATCATTTTCTCTATCATAGCACTTGTCTCTTCCTCTGTCATACTATCTTTGTTATTTTGTGATTCTTTGTATTCCTCGAAGAACTCTTTGTTCTCTTTCTCTAGCTCTTTCCACACTGCAAAATCATGATCAGAGTCGGATTCAAAATTTGTAGTACAAATTGTATCAGAAGTGAATCTAGCTAGCTAAATTTTTTATTTTTATAAGATGTGTACATCATTAATATATGGGAATTGATTCTTATTTTTCGAGGTAAATAACTATGTATTCAATCAAGTTTGGTTATTTAGCTTTTTGAATGCATGATAATATTAAAATCAATTCTAGAAAATATGTACATAAACAATCTAGTTTAGTGGAAAGAAAATGAGTTCACGTGCAATGTTAAAATAAGTTATTCCCTCTGTCCAACAATAGTTGTTCACTATACTAAAAATAGTTGTCCAATAATATTTGTCCAATTTAAAAAATCAAGAGATAATTTGTCTTTTCTGTCTATTTTACCCTTGCTATTAAATATTATTTATCATATAACACAAAGGATAATATAGTACTATTACCCCTATTATTTATTATTTTTTAAGGGATATGCCAAATCAATAATGAACAACTATTGTTGAACAGAGGCACTAGCTATTAATATGCCCCTTTATTAGTATCATGAGATTCACCATTTGAAGTAATTTGTGAATTCTAGATTCCAGTACTTTGAAATTATCATGTTCTAAATTTATACTTTTTTTGTCTCGGTTATATGACTCACTTTTTTTTTTAAATCAGTCTAAAAAGAATGACACATATATATATATATATATATTAAGTAACAGTTTAACTTTAAAATACTAATTTTACCCTTAATGAAATGATTTATAGTCACAGAAACACCTATCACTTATTTTAGACCACAAATTTTAAAAATCTTTTTTTCCTTTTTAAACTTCGTGTTAAGTCAAACTAACTCATGATATAAAATGAGACCGATAAGGGAGTAATTTGTACATATTAAATGAATTTTCTTAAAACAAATACAAATTCTGAGTAGCCCTTCAGCTAGTTTATGTGTTTACTTCTTCATATATTGCACTACTAAGCGAAATTTTTGGCTCCGTCACAACTGAGCATAATGATATGTGAGATCAGCCGTACACATTGGAGATGACTCGATCATGTATGAATCTAAAGCCAGTGAGTTCAACATGATTAGTTATATATGTGTGTTTTAAAACCTTCAAACGGAAATCCGCATGCATGCATAAGCTAATTAATGAATACCATATTAGTAATTATTTAACTAGTTATAATAATAGGTTATTTACTCTATTTTCATCTGATCATATAAATATATTATACATTGTTAGTATATAGAACTTAAACTCTAATAAAATTTAAAAGAGTTAAAGCTAACCAGTAGAAGTGATAACAGGTTTGATGTTTGCATGCTTGGATAGTGCCTCCATGCACTCTTCTTTTGTCATTTTGTAAATCAAACACTTCTCTATCAGGTGCTGCACCTAAATTAGGGTTAACAGGTTAGTAACCATTTATTTTGCAATATCGAGAATTGTGATGAAATAGATAAGATTTTATCGAATTTAAGACCTAAAAATTAAGAGTGAGAAAAATCCTAATAGGGATCACGCTACACGATACACATACAAATTAGTTGGTAGGGGCTGATCTAGAAGTATATATAGATAAGGGTTTATTTGATGAGCCCTAAAATTACCGAAAATATTGAACAATGAACACAAAACTCAAACAAGGTAATGAGTTCAGTGGTCAAAATCCAAAATTCATTAAGTTAAAATCTTGAAATTGGTTATGTTAGTTAGGCTCCAAAGCATATACTGAATGCTTAACACACAAGTTCTTTGAACTATACATGCATCACAAAATAGATTTAAAAAAAAAAGATTTTCATCTGATATTCGTATCGAAGCCCAACTAATTTAGATTCAAGTCACGTAGGGCTCAAATCAGAAAACTCTGATCAAGAGAGAAATTTAACATCATTCAGTGCATCACTTTTTTTTTAATGATCATTGATCACAAAATAAATAATAAGTAGATTATAGATATTTTAGTTTACGTACCATATGGATATATGAAGCAGATGAATGATCGTTACTCATGATATAGATTTACTATATCTAATCTTGATGATCACCAACATAAGCTATACCTAAATAAATATTTCAAAATATTATAGAACACTCGTCTCGTTGATTCTTCCACTCTTTTCTTTTATCTTGGACTATGTAATAGACTTTATAATAGTTTAAGAAAATTAGAAGAAGCAACTACTGTAGAGTGGGGTTAGGAGTACCACGTGAGAGATAAATGATAAATGGTGGAGAGGAGATTAGAGTAGATTTTGTATATGACTATTTCTGCCCCCTCCATGTGATAAGTGGGACCATTAATGCCTATTAGATTATCATCATCATCAATAACCCAAAAATGGACATCATCTCTGTGTCACTCTAACACTGTAGTAAATTATCTACTCATATATTATAAGCCAATCGGATTATGACACGTGTGTCTGATTATCAAATATGTATTTTGGTTTCATTATTGTTAGTGCATTTGCTATAAGTCACATTTCTCAACTAGTGCATGCATGATGTTGTAAGTTGTTTGGAAATATGTGATTACTTATCACCGGAAAAAGAACCTTATTTATATGACCCACAACAATTGCAACATTATGTGTAACAGACGTGGGCTTCTCTCTTAATCAGAAATTTTGAGTTTGAATTTTTTTTTGGTTGTAGTCCTATACGCGTGGTGTGAATCTGAAATAGTCAGACTCCAACTACAGGCAGTGAATTGGGTCCTACGTGCGGTGCGAATCTGAAATAGTCAGACTCCAAATACAGGCAGTGGCGGAGCCATGATTTTTATTAAGAAGTGTCAAAATATAAAGTAAAAATGTATAAGCACTGGTATTCGAGATAGAACACACAACCTCAAACAATTTTTACAACTCCTTAACAACTACACTAAACCTTCAACTTGTGTTAAGAGATGCCAACACTTGTATATATATTTATTAAACCAAATTTTGACCTATATATACAATGTAATTTTACAACAAAGGGGTGTCACTTGACACCCCTTGCCCTATAGCTCCGCCTCTGAATGCAGGTACTAGACACCGATAGAAAATTAAAAAAAAAAAGTGTAATTAGTTTCTTATATATCACCCTATTCAAATTTATGGATCATCGAGATATTTCCGAAAGCCAATCATACATTCAATATTTTAAAATTCATTTGATCGATAATGGGTAGATTTTTGTCCGATCCATGATGTACGTGAGCTTAATCTACACATCACTTGTTGCGTTCTTATAACCATTAACTAGATCACAACCCTTTTGGTACCCAAAACTGTGTGTATCCCTTTCGAGTGACATAGAATATACCAACGAAAGCATACTAGTAGACTATTTTTCCATATGAAACTTCTAACTCTAATTATCAACTTAGGACTATATATATTATCCCCCTTGTTTTAAAATATTTGTCACGTTATAGTCGGACAATATTCTAAAATTATTTAATTAGATATTCGGAAATTATATTAAAACACTATATATTGTTATTTTTGTATATATATGTATACACACATGTATAAGAAAAATATATCTTAAAAATATTGATCAAAGTTCATAGAGTTTGATTCTTGAGAAGCCAAATGTCACATGTTTTTCTATCAATTGGCTTTTTGAGTAATAAGAAAGATGACTACCATTGTATTTCCTTGAGAGGTCCACAACTTAACTTATTTGTTTGATTTGAGAGTACATATTATAGATCTTTTAGGGTCTGTTTGGAAATCCACCTGGTAATTGGAATTGGTGTAATTACTAGGGTAGTAATTACCAACCTAGTACTACACTGTCTAGTAATTACACTGATCTGTTTGGTTGCCACAGTGTAATTACACTGTAATTACACATGTCTTGTTTGGATGCCACAGTGTAATTACACATGTTCTGTTTGGATGCATAATTGCAATCATAAAATTATAATAAAATTTTAAAATAAAAATTAATTATTTAAAATTTATACTAGACAAATAAGAAACTTTATAAATGACATTAAATTAAATATTTAAGATATATATTCTTTTTTGAAAATATATTAATTAATAAACATATTTTCTGTAACTAATATTATGAAAAAATAATTGATTTATATTTTTTCAAATTAATATATTTCAATTGAATTGATCGTAACAACTAAAAGTATGAAGTTTCTACGAACATCGTGAAATGCATGTTTGATAAAAAGAATAATATATAAATAAAATGTCATAAATTATTAAATGTTTGACAAAAATATAATTTATCAACTCTAATTAAAAAATGACGTGCAATGTAGATTCAATGTTACTAAAACAAATGAAACTGAAAATATAACATAAGTTATCAAAACAAAAATTTTAACATAATACTCCTATAACAAATTTCAACATAGCAATAAATATGATTTAGTTTTACCTTTTCTTAATAAAGAAAATGTAAGTCTATAACTTACTTAACAATAAATTCTATTTTAATTTAAAAATTAGAATATAATAAAATTATGCTAATGAAAAAATAAGCATGGCATAAAGAAATAGATAATACAAAAAAATTACATAGAATCACGTAAAGTAAGGTTGAGAATAAGAAGAAAATGAAATATAATAATATAAAACAAAAAATAAACTTTTACAAATTTTTAGAATAATAAAATTAAAAAAAGAACTTAAAATAATAGAAGTAAAAAAAATTAAAATAGAAATTAAAAAAGAAATTAAAAAGTAATCAGGTGGTAATTACACCATGTAATTACCAGCAATTCACAGTCTCTGCCTGTGAATTGTAGAGTGTAATTACCCCCTGCCAATTACATCAATTACCTGCTGACCAAGTAATTACCTGTCCTTCCAAACAGGACAAGACAGTGTAATTACACCAATCACACCAAATCCAATTACCAGGGTGTCCTTCCAAACAGGCCCTTAAGGCTTTGTTTCTTGTTTTTAATCGATATTTACTTTACATTATTTATAAGTAATATATTTATGTGTGTGGTGCGCGCACATACATTCATAAGAGCTATTGTAGAAGGGTTATCTTCGCCACTAATTTACATTAATTAGTTATAAATAATATATTTATATAAGTGTGGTGCGAGCACATACTTCCTCTGATTGCAAGTTGAATAAAGACATATCTTTCAACTCATTCTCAAAGTGATTATATATGGGGGTGTATTGCTTTCACTCTAGAAAGGTCATGTCTTGTGGGGGTGGGTACATTAGTCATTTCAAAAATCTTACTCTGGCCTACTCTTGATTAACTTTTGATAAAGTGAGTTAGCACAAGATTCCCCTTTGAGTATCTTATGGATTATTGTTGGCTGAGCAAATAATCATATGGCTCAAAGCATGCCCTATAATGATAAGGATTTTGCTTTCCAATGTTAGCTCAATGGTGAAATCAGAATTTTTTTATTATGGATTTCAGAATATGAAAAGTAAATATACGAAGAAGGCAAAAAGGTCAACATCTAGTACATATAAACATTAAAATAATTTTAATCATATATGAACATTACAATTTTCTGCTCCTAATTGATCATATCATATATATATGTATTAAAAAAATCCACTAAATTATCAATTACCCTTTGATCTTGTACTAGTTATAACTATCATATATACTGCTTTTTACGTATCGAGATTTATAAATTTCAAATCTTTTGTCCGTCTCTGAGGTGAATGTTCTTTCGCATCTATGTTGGGTTGTAGAGTACAATCTATGGAGTTTATAGAAATTCAGTCATTTTAGCACGCACACAAACCCTATATATATAATTATTACTTCTTGTTTACTCTTATACTAGTTTCTTTTTCGATTCTAGTTTTAATGTTGTTCTTAATTAGTTTTCTTTGTTTTGATTATCATATTATTTGTTGCATGCTACTTTTTCTCCTCTATTTTTGTTTTAGTATGGTTTCTTGTACTAACGGTATGTACTTTACATATATACTTGAGTTCTGATATGTGTAACTTAAGCCAAGAGTTTGTCGAAAATAGTCTTTCTACTGCGTACACAGTACATATCAGTACTCTTCTCATACCTCACTTGTAGATTTACACTGAATATGCTATTATTTTTGTCGAGATCCATTGTTTGCTTTCATCATGAGAAATATACAAAGAGAGGTGATGAGAAGATTGGGTAAGAGGATATAGGGAATAAATTATATGTGGTTCTTGCATAATTAATTTGTACAATATATCCCTTAGAAATTTAACATTTTAGTATCAGCCATATATATCAGTTTTCAAAAGCATCATCATGAAGTACAAGAAAAAATCACATAATCACAAACCCTAGCTTATATTCCACATTTTCTGCCAAGTCATCCACAAAGTGACCATCATTGCATATGTCAATTATTTATTCAACTTTTATACACATGTCACATGTGGATTGGCAAAAATAGTGATAAGGAAATTTAGTTCTTGTGCACATGAAATTCTCAAAAAGATTTAAGTTATATATGTTACTAAAAAAATAGAAACACAGAATTAGATTTTTTATTAAAAAGTAAAATTATATATATATATATATATATATATATATATATAATGAAGTAAACATGTATATCAAGAATTCAAGAGAACTCAATATACAATATACACATAGAAAGTTCACTTCTACATAGATAATTATCGAGCGAAAGAGTATCAATTAACTTCGATCGTACAAAGGTAACTCCATTGTTCGGGTAGAAGAATTTTTATAGTATAAGTGCATTTGATATGAAGGAAAATATTTTTAAAAAAAAATACTTTATAAGTTATATTTTAAGTTTATTGTCTACTGCCTCCACCCCAACCTCACTCCCCACTCCATCACACCCCACAATAGTGTTTTGCTAGTTACTTATAAATGTTTCAGGAATAATATTTACTGAACACTAGAAAATTAAATAAGTAAGAAATTTAATTATTTTTTAAGAAAATATTTTTCATAGAAAACATATTCATTCATACCAACACAGCCTATATTACATTGCAATTCTTTTGGACATGATTTGATTGAAGTTGGAAAAAAAATGAAAGAGTACTTCAAGTTGAAACTAAAAAAAGTACTTATCATTTGCGTTTGAACATGATTTTTACTCAATTTTATATTTATTTTTTTGAAAATTTGTAAATGGAGGCGCTATTATTTCACACGAA